ATGTCTATGTGTGCTTTATTGACTAGACAGAGGCATTTGACTTTGTGGATTATAACGAGTTATGTGTAAACATTGGGGGAAAAAGGAATCCCAGAATACTTAATTGTTCTCATGTGAAGCCTATACCTAGACGGAGAGGCTCTTGTTTTAACAGAGCAAAGGATCATGACATGGCTTAAAATTAGGAAATGTGTGTGTCGGAGGAGTTACATCTTTTCTCCATAACTGTACTCTGAGCAAATTATTTGGGAATCTGAACTCTCTGAAGAAGAATATGGCAGCAGGATTGGAGCAAGATTCATCAGTAACATTTGCTGTCCAGATGACACAACCTTGCTTGTTGAAAGTGAGGAGAATTTGAAGCATCTGTTCGTAGAAGATCAAAGTCTTCAAGGTGGATTACATCTAAAGTCAAGAAAATAAAAATCCTCGCCACTATTCCAGTAGGCAGCTTTATGATAGATGGAGAAAAGATTGACTTGACACTGTTAACGACTTCATCTTACTTGGGTCCACAATCAGTACACTTGTTACCAGTCAGTTGACCGGGGATTTCTTGTGCTGGGAACTTCTGCAGTCAGGGACTGCTCCAAATTATTGAGGAGCAGTGATGTAAATTTGTGGAATAAGGTGTGACTAATTCAGGCCATGGACTTTTCATTCACTTTGCTATATATATCTGAGAGCTGGACAGTGACTTGAGGATGACAGAAGAATTGATGTCTTTGAACTGTGTTTCTTCATGTGCTTGTTGGCCATCTGAATGTCTTCTTTGGTAAAGTGTTCATATCCTGTGCTCATTTTTCAGTTGGATTGTTTCTCTTGTTGTGGTGTATTTTTAACAGACTTAATTACTGAATACTGTCTACTTTTTACTGTGATCCTATATTAAAAGGTTGATGTGACCCTTTGGTTATTTCTTCAGTGAATAAGGATATTTAATGGCTTATAAATTAGAAAAATGCTCTACATTTTAAAAGGTTTATCCTTTTAAAGTCAGAACTTTAGCGTAAAACTGCTTTTTAAGAATTGTATTGTGTCACAATGAAAGCTAGTTGGGGTAGGGAGGAAAATGTGCAACAATGAATGGAAATCCCAAGTTTTCTGTAATCTTCCATTAAAAAAAATCAATAAAAAATTAAACAAAACATGAGTTGTACTTTAGCTGTGTTGCTAGTTTTTTAGGTTTTCCCCACTATTTATCTCTGTCTTTCCTGTTCTGTAACATTCCAGAGTAAACTACATTTTCTTGACTAAAAAAAAAAAAATTAGGCTTATGTTTCCAATAGAATTATACTTGGTTAGTATTGTTGTTATGTACCATCGAGTCGCCTGGGACTCATAGCTACCCCAAACCCTGCGCTATCCCATGCCAGTCTCACTGTCTCCGACACACCTACCCCCTTACCTCAGTCACTAAATCAATCCATCTCACTGAGGGTCTTCCTCTCCTGCACTCTCTCTCTCTCCACCCTCCCAAGCATGACGTCCCTCTCTAAGGACTGGTCCCTCCATGCAACATTGTCCAGAGTATGTCAGACAAGGCTTCAGAATCCTTGCCTCCAAGGACCAGTCTGGTTTCACCCCCTCCAGGTCTAACCTGTTCTCTTAGCAGTCCATGGTATATTCAGTACTCCAGTACCACAGCTCAAAGGCATCAATTTCCCTGCTATCATCTTGGAACAGCCATCGACAGACAACAGTCAAGAGCAGGCTGGGTTTAGAAAAGGCCATGGTACTAGAGATATTGTAGCTAATGTTAGGTGGATCTTGGCTGAAAGCAGGGAGTAGTACCAGGAAGAATGTCTATGTTTCATTGACTATGTAAAGTCATTTGACTATATGGACCACAACAAACTGTGGCTAACTTGTGAGAAGAAGGGGAATCCCAGAACACTTGATTGTGCTTATGCAAAACCTGTACTTGGAACAGGAGGCAGTCATCAGAACAGAGCAAGGAAACATTGGGAAGAGTGTATGCTAAGGATATGTCCTATTTCCGTACAGTTTTAATCTTTAAACAGAACAGATTATCCGGGAGGCTGGGCTCTATGAGGAGAAATGTGGCATCAGGATTTGAGGAAGACTCATCAACAATCTGCTTTATGCAGATGACACAACCCTGTTTGCTGAAACTGAAGAGGACCTGAAGTGACAGCAGCCTTCAATACGAATTGAAGCTCCGTATTGGGAAAGCAAAGATTCTCACCACTAGGCCAATTGGCAGTATCATGATAGATGGTGAAGAGATTGAGATTGTTACCATCTTTAGTTTGCTTGGCTCCACAATCAACAGTCTTGGCACCAGCAGCCAGGAAATGAAAAGACGTATTGCATTGGGAAAGTGTGCTGTTAGAGACCTCTCCAAGGTACTGAAGAGCAACAATGTCAGTCTGGACACTTAAGGTACACCTGATCCAAGCCATGGTCTTTGCAAGCACTTGCCATGCATCAGAGAGCTGGGCAATGACTAGTGATTATAGAAGGAGAATGGATCTTGTTAGTGTAGTTGTTGTTAAGTGCTATCGAGTCATAGGCAACTCATAGCAACCCTGTGAATGAAAAGTCCTCAACACTTGTGTGACTTTCATCCTTTGTCCAGGTTCATAGAGTTTCCGGAGGCAAGCTATTACGGAAGTGGATGCCATTCCTGCTTCCAAGCTTGTTTTAATCGGGGAGCTCCACCAAAGACTGACCACCGTGGGTAACCATTAACGCATTTGACACATCAGTGTCACAGTGCTCAGCTTCACAGCAAACACAAGATACCTCAGTATGGCAAGTGGACACACCAGGCCTATACAACATAGAAGAATGTTTGAACAAAAACAGTGAAAAACAGGCCTGAGAGCCGCAGATTAAAAGTCACTCACCTTTGGCTTGGTAGTATCACTTTCTGACTAGGCCAACTGATCTGTCTCTCTCGATGTTATTGTTAAGTACTGTCAAGTCGTAAGTGACTCATAGCGATGAAATGAACGAAAATCCTCAACATTTGTTAGTGTAGTATATTTTTATTTTTCTGAATATTTATTTTGTGGTAATGATAACTTTTTATAATTTTCAGATTCTTGTGATATCTCCCATAATGGAAATGTACACTCAAACACACATACTTTTTCCTATATTGCTATGAGAAACTGCTTTTTTTGTGTCATAAATTAACATTGACTTTGAATATATTATCACATACTTAAATGATTGAAAAAATAATATGGATATCTGGTAAACTGGGGAAATAAGGAAGATTAAAGTTGAGAATTGTTCTTTAAATATATCAGTGTAGTGGAAAACATCTAAATAAGTAGTGCTGTTAAGTTTCTGGGACATTATTGTTTTGTGCCAATGAGTTGGTGGTGACTCAGCTGACTCTCTGGAAGGTTTTCAGAGGCTGTAGATTGCATCAGAGGATGTTGCCCATCTTTCACCTGCAGAGCAGCTAATAGAATTAAACATTATGCCTTTGGGTTGGTGACAGAGCTCCTTGTCCATTACTCCCCCAGTTTTAGTAAAGGGGTTTTTTTAATTTAATTGTGATTTTAATGAAAGATTACAGAAAAGTGGGATTTTCATTCATTGTTGCACCTTTATTTTCCCTCCCCCACTATTCCTCCTCCCCCAGTTCTTTGTCCTTTTTTATTTTAATTCATTCATTGTTGCACAGTTTCCTCACTCCCTTGACCCCTTTCCCAGGTAATAATATTTTCAAGGAACCTAAATGGAGTTCATGAAAATAAATATCAGACTGTAGTATATTCAATGTACAGTAAGTTACAAAGTCTAAAAAGTAAATATTTGTAATGTCCCCTTTTCCAAAAGTATTTTCTCTGATTTGGCAAAATTACAGTTTCTTTTAACTTACCGAGTCTTGTTTGAATGTTTATACTTTATCTCATTATAAAGAACAGGAACTATTTACTTAGCTTCAAAACTCAAACCAAACTCACTACCGTTAAGTCAATTTTGACTCATAGCGACCTTCGTTCTGTGTGGCATTTTGAGGCTCTACATCTTTATGTTCATTTTTCATCTTTGTTCATCTTTTGTTCCTCAACAGTTATCTTGGGTAAAAAAAAAATTACTTGGTGACTGGAATATGGTTGTTGCTCAGCAAGTACTTGTTAAAGGAATCCTCTAATGATCTGTAACAGAACCTATCTTCTTGTAAATGAAGTAATTAGTTTTGAGTGTCTCTTCTGGTTACTTGGTAGGACTTCTGTCTGTCTCGTTATCTCTAAGTGAAGATAATGTAGTCTGGGTGTGCAGGGGCATGTCTGGTCAGAGACATCATGTTTTTCTCTGTTGACTTTAAAAAAAAGATTAGCATAGGAAGTGCAGAAATATCGCTAATTTAAACTCAGACATATGATACAGAGTTAAAAGTGATTTGGATTATTGAATGGATGTTACTGCCCTGTGGCCATGGTACCCAGCTGTCTCATAAATGACTGCACAGACAGCTGAACCAATTAAGAGATTTCAGAAACCTAAAAATCAGTTAAGCTATTGCTTTGCTATAGCCCTTGACAGAGACCTCAAACTTTAGTTTGTTAAACTGGCTGAGTATGAGAATTACTATTAAGTAAGAGGAGGAAACGATCTGCCTAATTTTCTTCCTTAACTGAAGCCTAGCTACTTGGTGTTTTTTAATTATTATTTTCTCTGAACTATAGCATTTTTGAAATTTGAGAGAAACCATTTGCCTATAACAGCTGTTAACTTCCTACAACTGAAATGTTTTCCATTCCCTTTAAAATAAGCCCCTGTGAAGCAGAATGTAGACCATGTGCATCACCCAAACCAAAAAAGTTTGCTGAGACTACTATCCGTTGCTCTAGGCTCTGGAATCTTCACATTCCAGGCTGAGTTCCAGTTGTTCCGATTTAGATACCCAGTTGGGATTGGCTGTGCCACCTACTTTTTTCTCCACCCCTTAACTTTCACTGGGAGAACGCCCATGAGCCAGAGATTAAATGTAAGCACTGTCACCAGGCTTTCTGAGTGCAGCTGGCACCATGGGTGTGCTCCAGAGCAGCTTCTGTTTGCTCTGAGCCCCCAGCCTTGCCTCCCCTTTCACCATGTTTCCTCTGGCAAGATTTTAAGTACAGCAATTCAAGAAGATTTCTCCTCCTAAATAACAGTATTCTAAAGTATATTGCCTCTTGATTGCTGGAAAAGAATCCTAAATTTTTTCAAAAATAATTTATGAGCAAGTTTCTGTTTTAATTTTAATCAGTTTTATGATGAAAGGAGCATTAAAATTGATTAGCACCCATTAGTCAAAGTGTGCATTGTCTTTCAGAGGAAACTATAAGAGATCCCATTGAGTGTGCCATGCCAGTGGGGAGAATTGAATGTCCCTCATCTCCCTCTTTCCCTAGGGACAGTAGTCATGAGTGCCGAGTGTGCGGGGTCACAGAAGTGGGTCTCTCTGCATATGCAAAGCACATTTCTGGCCAGTTGCATAAAGATAATGTGGATGCTCAAGAAAGAGAAGATGATGGAAAGGGAGAGGAAGAGGAAGAAGAGTATTTTGACAAGGAACTTGTTCAGTTAATAAAGCAAAGGAAAGAACAAAGTCGGTAAGTAATGATTTTGGATTTTTGTTATTTTTAAAAGCCCATCTGAAACAGAATATAGTTTCATACTTTTCTGTTTATAGTCTTTAATTTTGATTTACTTGGAAAGATTAGCTTGAGGTTTCTGTCTCATGCCTAGAAAGGCTGTGGAATGCTTTAAAAAATGACTTGAACACAGTACCTTTTTATGTAGACTTGATTCCAACTCATAGAAGCCCTATAGGACGAAGTAGAACTGCCCCATAGGGCTTCTAAAGCTGTAATCTTTGCTGAAGGAAACTGCCACAGCTTTCTTTTATCGAGCAGCTGGTTTGAACTCCCAGCCTTGCCACTTGGAAGCTGAGCACTAAACTACTGTATCACCAGGATTCTCTTGAATTACTGTAATACATAGTTATAAACTCAAATTCACTGTTGTCCCTATAGAAATTTTATAGCTGAACTTTGTACCATCTTAGTAATTATTTCTGTTTAGAGTTATATTAGCAGTTTATAGCAGTACCTAGGGTTTTTTTAATAGAAAGTATTAATTTATAAGTCCCTCCACATTACATTTATTCATAAGGAATTTTTCTCTCCCCTTATCTGAGTTGACATGTTGCTTTTACCAAATTTTATTTTTATATTTTTTCAGAATATACAATGACTCTTAATATTGCATTGCCTGCTTTTCCGAATAGTTAGTGAATAAACCCACATTTTAAATTTGACAGGATCATATTAACGTTTCCATTCTAATTTTTCCAGCTTTTATTTTATAATTTTGTTCTTATAGTTGGTGTTAGGCTTGTGTTTTTACTTTAATAATTTGTGGTCTAGAAGAGTTGAATTAATTAGTTTGATGAGTCCTAGCTTTTTAGGTGGAATAGTTTTTTTTAAGTATTGAACATGATAAAAATTTCAAATTCTAGAATGATAATTTAAATACTTGTTATTTATTAAATATTTATTAAATTTATTAAATATTTATTAAATACTATACCTCCTTTTTTGATGAGAGGTTTAAATTTAAGTAGAAGGTTTTTTTTTACTCTTTATAATTTACTTAGCAGGTTCTTGAAGGAGACTTTCCGTCTTAAGAGTTAGTGGCACAGTTCTTGTAGCATTCAGTTGCATAGTCCTTCAGATGACATTCTCATTACTTTCAGTATAGCTGCAGTTTGCCCTTCCTCTTATTTGATGGAGTTGGAATCTCTAGGAGACTAACTTCTATTTTTATTCTTATTACTAACTCCATTATTAGTTTGTTTGTGTAAATGATTAAACATTAAGTCATATGGTAAAAGAGCTACTAGTAAATTAAACATGTGTATCGTAGTTACTATTCTTTGAGTCTTCAGATGTGTTCCCTTGGTGATCTATTTTTAAAACAATCTTCTTATCCTTCATGACATTTTTAACTTAGATATTTCTTTCTTGTCTGTAGGTTTAGCTGATTGTTATTGTCGTTTTAATCTAGCCAGTTTACAGTAACCTAGGAATTCTACTTTGTGATTGATTTGTTACCTAATTCTCCTATTTCTGATCTAGTTAGTATATCTGACTTAGCCCTTTTGGATGCCACAAGTTGCACATTACTTAGAAGCATAAGTTTAAAGCAGTAATTGTTGTGCGTTGTTAGTTACTATTTAGTCATTTCCAACTTCACATGTGCAGAGTAGAACTGCTGAATAGGAATTTTAAGGCTGTGATCTTTCAGAAGTAGATTACTAGGCCTGTCTTTTGAGCCTCCACTAGGTAGAATTAATTTGCCAACCTTTCAACTGATAGTCAAGTACTTTACCATTTATACCATTGTGGGGCTTTTCAAGTAATAATACTAAAACCAGACCCACTTTGTTTGACTTGGTTCTGATGCCAGCCCTTCCATCAGATTCTGAATAGACTTTTTCATCTGAGGAACTACTGGTTGACTCAGGACCACAGATCTTTTGGTTAGCAGCCCAATGTGATACACGATATGCGACCAGAACTCATTCAACCAGTAATAGTGACATAAAAATCCTGTTAGTATATACAGTAGTAGTTATTACTTAGTAACTGAGTGTGTCCTCTTTAGAAATGGTATTTTATAATGTAAATGAGTATTTTAACTTTCTGATAAGTTTTAAGTCCATCGTGAGAGAAAGGAGATTTTAATGTGCACTTATATATAAAAAGCTTTTAAAAGATAGTTATATTTAGTACTAAGTTAAAAAGTGAAGTCCAGTTATAAAGAATCAATTCACAGAAGCTTTTGAATTTTTATTTTGCCAAAGCCTAATCATTAAGAATCTAAAATCAAATACTAAGGCTCAGGCTCTGCACCACAACTTACTGCATGTCACTTAACATAAAATTCTTTAAAAAGTAGGAATAATAAGAGTACATGCTTCAGAGTTCTAAAAATTAGATTATCTGTATAAAATGCTTAACATTAAATGTTTTACATATTTTAGTAGGTAAATGCTCAATACATTTTAGCTAGTATCACTCACTTTTAAAAAGTCAGTTTTGACATACTGTACACACTTTGAACAGAAAAATGACTTTATATTGATGTCTGTGATATTTACTTAATTTTGTTTGTGTTTCTTTGTACTCATTATGAAACATCAATAGTCCAAACAGCTACAAGTTCTTTATAAAAACCTCATGTTGATGGAGCTCCTTATAGTTTTTATCATGAGTAGTGCTTAGTGTGTACTATTTAACTTCTTTTTATGACTTTTATAGTAGCCTGGCTATCTCAGTGACTAAGGGCTTGACTGAGACAAGGAGTATAGTACATATGTGTCACTGTTTAAATATTTCTAGGATTCACAGGTAAAACAACATACTGTTTAGTAGCTAAGTTAAATTGAGAAATGTAAGCTTAAGTATATGACTTAAAAATAGGAAATATTTTTAATTAGAAATAAAAATAGTCTTTATTTAGCATATTCTAAATAAAAAGGAAACATAAGAGGGAGGAAGTTTGGTCGACTGTATTTTAAAGCACATATAAAAAGATCTTTTCAGTCCCTAAAGGAAAACTTATTTTTCTTCCAGACAAGATGAAGCCTCCATTGGCAACCAAGAAATAAACCCTGATGACAGACGACCCCAGTGGAGACGAGAAGACCGATTCCCTTACCAAGACAGA